TTGATGATTTCCAGTGAAATTTATTTTTTTGGTCCATTTTGGTTCTGGCTTCTTACATTTTTTATCTTTTTTTTGTAATCCAACATCATTACGTGCGTCTGCTTGTTCTAAAAGAACACCAACTCTTCCAGGAACTTCATTTGGCATGTTTGATGGCAGCAAATCGTCATCATCTATCATCTCTTCATCTGAAATGCTGTCTACCTTCGTAGGAGGAAGCAACACTACATCAACTGGAGTCTGTGAATCCGTAATTGCATCTGTTGCGTCAGCTAAACGCTCAAATTCTTCAATTTCATCATCAGATTCTTCAAAATCCACATTTTCATCTGCCATAATGTTAGCAAGAACTTCTTCAGTACGAAATCTCTTCTCAGACATACTTAAATTGTAAACAATTTAAAATAAAAATTATTAAATATATCACTATAATATCATGAGAAACTAAATTGAGCACATGAGGTACTACGTTCCCATTTGGGATCATAGTACCTTATGTGCCCAATGTTCCCAATTGGGAACGTCAACACATATATCTCATTTAAAAAATAAGTTTAAGATAAACCTCTAATTTCATAATTTTAAAATATTAAGAAGTAATTGTGAATAAGTAAAAAATAGTTTAATTTAAATAAAACATAATACTTACTTGGAAATAAAATCAGAAAACAGACTAAAAACTTTTTTTAAAAATACAAAATTTTTAAAATGGCTACCAAAGCATGCGATGACAATACAAAAGACCACGTGACTGTATTGCATAGATATACTATTAATAAATATAGATTGGCCAAAACATGTAAAGCTTGTGCAAATATAAAATTTATGTAGCGCTAAATATACACGTTCCCAAATGGGATCATTGGGCGCTAATGAGTTAAACACTAATAAATACTAAAAGATAAACACTAAAAAAACCATTAACAAATTAATAAACAGCCTCGATTAGATGAAATATTTTATATATTTTGTACCATACCTGAATAGCAATAATTTATAATTTATACTTACATAAAATTTGTTATGCATCAAACTATGTACAATAAGTTCAAAAAAATTTTTCATGTTTTTTACATTAATTAATATATAAATATTTATTTTATTAATAAATAATTATAATAATAAAAATAAAAAAAGGCAAATTTAAAAAAAAATCAAAATTATGAGTTGTGTTTATTATTTGTAGCAAAAACGATATAATAGTCTATAATAATAGAAAAATTTAACCCATGTTTATAAAAAGTTTATTAAAAAGAAAATATTCAACCATTAGTATCAGTATCAGAACTTGTAGGGCGCATCTCTCCAAAAGGCCTCAGAAGCCCTTTCTTTGGTGTACAGTGTTGAAATACGTACAAGTACAGATAGATACACATGTGTGCGCATGTTCGCAAGAACATGTGAAACGAACGTGTACCTTAAACCATGATAATAATGTTTATACAATTAATATTTAGTCTCAGACCAAATGCACTTTTCACTTTACACACTGCACATTCCAAAATTTTCTAGATTTTGGCATTTTGCATTGCTGGCATCCTAGCATTACATCAGGCATATGACGAATGTCGTCTCTTCTGTGTGACCATTGAAGCACTTGGCTTGTAATTGTTTCTCATTTTTCTCTGATAATTTTTTTTTGCTGAAGGATTGAAGGATTCATTGTTTTGTGTGCATTCTTTTTTTTCAAAGGCTTTTTTATTTCCTAATCAGAGATCATAACTTATTTTTTGACGTATATACAACAGTGCCAACAAATTTTTTTACATCAAACCTTTTGAGACAAGATTTTATGGCTTGTTTGAATAAACTTGTGTGTTGCTGAAAGTTGTTCAATGACAACTGGATATTATTTATATAAATATTTAATTTCATTTTTTTATTAATTTTATTAATTGGACTTTATTTTGACATGACTCATTTTTGTGGAACAAATGGTCACAATGTTCTTGTCAAACCTATATTGCATGAATTACTTTAAACCAAATTCTATTAACTAACTACAAAAATTATATTGAGCATAATAAGTGTATACAATTTTTTTATAATTGTAAAATGAAACAAGTTGTACAAAATAATTTGTTTTTGGAATTTTTTAGTAGAACAGTTCTCTAAAAGTTAATTTAGAAATCTTTAAAAACTGGTTAGAACAAGAAGGAAGTTGCATTACACAAAACTGGGAATACACTTTTTGATCATATACTTGATCAAATCTGTACTGATGTTCACTCATATGATGCTATTACATCATTCATGACATTGCTCAACCATTTTTGTGATCAATTTTTAGTAGTATTCAAAATGATTATAGCCATACCTATATCAGGAACATGAGAATTTAGTTAGTAGAAGTGAAATAAAATTATGTAAGAAATTGATGATTTCTGAAAAATAAAGTTAACAATATATCTACTTTTACTGACAAGTAACGTTTCAACTCTAACAGAAGCAGTATCACTTTTGGTCTCCTGTCCTCAGGAGAGATGCAGAAGTTATCCCACGTGAAGATTGTGTCAAACAGTTTGTACGAGCAAAACTCAAGAAAGGCATCTGAGTATGGAGTACTGGACCTGCGCATGGTTCTTTTATTTATTATATCAGTTTTATCAGTTTTAAATTTTATGAACTCTTTTGTATTTTTAATCTTGAATTTTTATAGGTCTATAGTTTAACTTTCTCGTTCGCATTCTCGTATTCTCGTTGTCATACACATATATGAATGTAGTCTAGGTGTGTAGGAACTGACAGGCTGAATTGGTAAATTAACGGGAGATAGAAAAGTGTTCATCACTTTCATACAGCAGCTCAGCACTTGCAAAGCGCATCCATTTCTGCATCGTGCTGTGATGATGATGATGGAAAATATAAATCAATCATTGCATACCAAACTGAATAGATTTATTGTAATTATGTGACTTTCATAGAAGATTATAACTTTGCTTGCAAATATTTTATGTGGCTTCTTGAATGAATGAATGAATTGAACGAATGAGCGAACGATTGAATGAATAGATGAATGAATGAATGAATGAACGAATAAATAAATGAATGAATTCAGGGTGCAAGTAGCAAGGACAAGACGTGTGTGACATGTGGAATGAACGCTGGGGATTGTGTCGGTCATTTTGGATACATTGACCTTCAGATGCCCTGCTTCCACGTTGGCTTCTTCAAATCCATCATCAACATACTGCAGTGCATCTGCAAGGTGAGTGTCTGCATTTCAAGTCCTTCTCTCGTTTTTGATTCTCAGATGTTTGTTGGTTTTAAAGTTAATAATATTTTATATTATATATATTTCTTTTAATTTCACTGATATTAGACAGCATGCTTGCTACCAGTCTGCCTGTTTCAGTAATTCAATTGGCGTTTTAAAAATTTAAACTTTGGATAAACTTTAAAACCTAATTTGTATATGCTAATGTTCAGCTTTGGCTTATTGATGGCTGATGGCTGATGCTACAGCCATATATTTACATAAATTTCGAGTAAAGATGTTGATGTCATTGCTTGTAGAAATGCAGTAGGGTGATGTTAAGCCCGGAGAAGAGGGAGTTGGAGATGAAACGCGCCACTCGACCCAACATGATGTACCTGGAGAAGAAGAACGTGAGAAAACATATCCAGCTTCTCTGTAAGAAAACCAGCAAATGTCCTTACTGCGGGGAATATAATGGTTAGTAACACTGGATCAGCATTAATTTCATCATTGTTGTATGGCGGCCTGCTAAATCAGGAAAATCTATTTCATTATTTTCTTCTCTGCCTCATATGTTGATTTTCCAACTTCTTTCTCTAAATGTTTATCATTATAACTTTTTAATCACGCCCTCCAAACATCAGAATGACTATCTTTGTAATTACTGTTTGTCCTTTGATCTTTTCATGCAATGCCTCTTCAGCACTTTTATTTTATTAACGGTTTTTAATTGATTGCACGTTCTGCTTTCTTAATTTTTTGGACACTGACAACTGTTAGTCAGTATTTTTTCAATGCTTAGAGAGAGAGAGAGAGAGAGAGAGAGAGAGAGAGAGAGAGAGAGAGAGAGAGAGAGAGAGAGAGAGAGAGAGAGAGATTCTAGTCTAAGGATGATGACACTTTTATAAAAAAAAAGGATTGAATAATGATTTTAATTTACTTAATTTCGAATTATTAATTTGCATGCCTGAAGGTGTGGTTAAAAAATGTGCTCTATTGAAAATCGTCCACAATAAGTACCAACACAGTAAGAAGACTCTTGATGACAAAGTCGTAGAGTTTATGGACAGCTTTGAATATGCAGTAGCAACCAACAAAGAAGTCCTTAATTTAATACCTAAAACTCAGGTTTTGTATCAATTCGTTCATTTAATTTTACATGATTAAGAAAATCAGTTTCTGTGTTAGTTGTCCGGTGTATAGCCATAGCTTGGATATTTAATATAATGCTTGCTTGCACGCACATATAAATATGTATGACATGGAGTGCATGCGGATTGAACTGGTATGGCATTCAATTTTTAATTTAGCTGTACAAGTCTCTGCTTTATTCATTAAGAATGTGTATTAGATTTATAATTAGTATAGGCATTATTTAATATATGTATCTTTATTTATTAAGAATGTGTATTAGATTTATAATTAGTATAGGCATTATTTAATATATGTGTTTTCTATTTCATTCAAATTCTCAATTTTTAACTGTTTGTCCAGGAAATATTGAACCAGCTGGTGGTCTTGAATTTATTTTCCAGGATACCTGAAGAAGTTAGTTTATTTTAACTTTATTTCATATAATGGTGCGCTACCTTATTTAGTTCATAAATATCTTCCTTGTTTATATTGTATAGAAAACAACTTATAAAAATGTGGTCTTTCATGCATGGTGTGTGAAGTATCGTTGCACCTAAAAACCACAAAACCATGCAACTTAACTGGTTGAGTCGATTACGTTAATGTCATTTGTTCATTCCTAGACTTGCTCTTGCCATTCATTTTCCCAATAAAATTCTTCCCCCCATCTGCGTGTTTGTGTGTTAATGGGTTTGAGCATCAAATTTACATTGTACTCCATTATATCAGCAAGCATTGGCAATCGTATTGGAACGGAATCAATAACTACTTAAAAATATTTTCGAAAAATGTTGAAGGTATACTGAGAAAGTTAATTTAAAAAATGTTGATGACATCACAGGATATACCACTGCTTTTGATGGACCCCAGGTTTAGTCGACCAGAAGAATTAATCATTACAAGGATCCTGGTCCCTCCCATCTGCATCAGACCTTCCGTTGTCTCGGAAATTAAGGCTGGAACGTTAGTCACTTGTGCGATCTCTTCATGATTGGTCTGCTGCCTCTCAGTTTGTTGCTGCTTGATCTGTTGCTGTTTGATCTGTTGCTTTTTGATTTGTTGATTTCTGACTTGTTGTTTTAAATTTTGAGCAATTGGTCCTTTAATTGTTATTATTATTATTATACTGCTAACGTACAATTATAAACATGCATTAGATTTGTTAAAATGTATATAGTGTAGTTTACTGATGCTGAAACATTACCATTTAATGATTCATCATGAGTACACAACGTGATGTTTGAAAATTATGAAACAATGACTGTCCCACAGGACTGAAGATGACATCACGATGCGTCTCTTTGAAATCGTCCAGCAGAACAGGAACCTCGTTTCTCTCGTCCAGTCTGGCTGCTGGATGTCCAGGTTCATGGTTGGTTGCTTGGCTGTTTACTTTATTTGTTTTTTTTTCAACATTACCACGCTGTTGTTCTACTCATTATTTTGGCTCTATTACATTTTTATTTTCGCTAATTTATCTTTTTTTATTTTGATTATTTTGCACTATTTATAGACATTTCTCAAACTCTATTTTATATGAATGAAAGTAATTTGTTTCTCGTTTAACTTGGATTAAAAGTTTAACTTTGGTTGGTGTCGTATTTTTTTGAAAAGCTTTTTTCTTTAGCGTCGTTGTAGTTGCCCTTCCTTAGAGGTCAGGTGGGCGCTTTAAGGAAGGCTTGAGCCAGTTTGCCATTTTTTGCTTCATTCGTTTGTTCATTTCTTGTTCACATGTATAAATGTGTATTTATTGACATATGACTTTATTTCATTGTAGGAAGTATGGGATTTTTTGCAACTGCAAGTGGCTCAGCTGTACAACAGTGAGCTCTCTGGAGTGCCGAAGACAAGTCAGGATGTTAGTTGATCTGCGTGGTGGCTTTTGATGTTTATACTATACTTGCTGTATATGTCGTGTTGGACCCGTTCAGTGTTACTAATGATTTCGTTAATTTGACGTGCTATGATTGAAATCAATCCATCAATTAATAGTCAAAGAAGCAGCTGAGAGGATTCATACAAAGATTGAAGGGCAAGCAGGGTCGGTTCCGCGGGAACTTGTCGGGGAAGAGAGTGGACTTTTCTGGCAGGACTGTAATATCTCCTGATCCTAATCTGAGGATCGATCAGGTCTCTTGTTTAGCTGCGTGTGTTTCGTTGTGGTTCATGCTCCTTACAATTTTTATATGTCGTTTAATGTTGTTAATATTTGAAGGTAAGTTTTAAAATTATGTGAACTTTAAAGGTTGGAGTGCCAATTCACATGGCAAAGATTCTGACCTTCCCAGAGCGGGTGACGCACATAAACAGACGGAGAATGCAGGAGCTGGTGATGAACGGATGCGATGTCCACCCTGGAGCCAACTACGTTGAGAAGAGGGACAGCAAGAATAAGTTAGTTGGTTTCGTTTTCAGTGCCGCCACGTGTTTTTTTTCCTGGCAGAAGTTTTCTCATATTTTTACTTTCTGTTTCTCTTCTCTATATTATTAAAAACTTTAATATCTCTAAGTGCAGTAATATAAGATCTGCTATGCCAGCATAAATGCATTTGTCTTCGTGATGCTGCTTACTTGTGTTGCTAATGTTGTTTGCCCGGCTTTCACAATATAAGGGCTAATGCTCCTATTTATCTTTCTATCTATTTATTACCAGCATCATCGTTATGTCTCTTTTATGGTGTTGTTTCTATCATCATATTGCGTCATCGTCATTTCTGTAATCATCTCAATAATCACCTCCATCTTATCTCATCACTAGAGCTCCATACATTAATGTTACCACCTCATCATCATCATCATCATCATCATCATCATCATCATCATCATCATGCAATCATCCACTCACCATTGTTATTTAATCTTCGACACCGTCAACTCACGTTCATTCCGTCATCATTTTACCTTCAACATCATCAATTCACTTTTATTTCATCAACCCTTAATCAGATTATCACCACATCATCGCCATCACCAACACTTCATCATCACGCTTCATCACATTTCATCATAGACGTCATCATCATCGTCTTCCAGTTATTTTATTATCACTTCTTCATCATCGACATCATCATCATCATCATCATCATCATCATCATCGCTTCTTCATCATCATCGCTCTATCAACGTCAACATCATCGTCATTTTTCAATAATTTCATCACCAGGTTTTTCCTCCGGTTCAAAAATCGGGACACATTAGCACAAGAGTTGAAAGTGGGAGACATAGTGGAGCGCCATCTGATGGATGGTGACGTCATTCTCTTCAACAGGCAGCCCTCCCTACATAGACTCTCCATACAAGCCTTCTATGTAACAATTTGTTTGCCTTATAACTTATCATTTCGTTATTGGTTGTCGTTCTATCAATCTTATCAAAACTCATAGGAAAGAATAACACATGAAGGATTATTATTATTATTATTATTATTATTGATTATGCTGTTTATTATTTCAGCTGAAACAATAATAACCATTATCAATGTGATATTGTTAGTCTCACTGGTGTATTTATGTTGCAGCAGTTATTGTAACTACTGATACTACTGCAGCAATTTATGTTACGTCGACAACGAATTTGCAGGCCAAGGTAATGCCGTATAGGACGCTGAGGTTCAACGAGTGCTGCTGCAATCCATTCAATGCTGACTTCGACGGGGATGAGATGAATCTGCACCTGCCACAAACTGAAGAAGCCAAAGCTGAGGCCATCATGCTGATGGGGGTGAGTTGGTTGGTTGGGTGGTTAGTTGGTTGGTTGAATGGTTGGTTGGATGGTTGGTTGATTGGTTGGTTTGCTCATGTCATTGCAGATTGGTTGATTCGTTAGTTGGTTTGATGATCGTTTGATTGATTTGTTGGTTGATCGGTTGGCGGGTTTGCTGGTTCATTAGCTTGTTGGAGTAATTTTGTGAAGGAGGTTGGACTAACTGATATTCTTAGTTTTCCAATTTTATCGGTTTTATTATTGAGAAATTTATTCAAAACAATTCAAGTTAAACAATATTAACTGATGAATTGTATTTCTATAGAAATACAATTCATTTATTGTATTTATTCATTTAAATCATTTATTGTGTTTCTTTACAGAATTACAATTCATCTATTGTATTTCTTTATAGAAATACAATTCATTTATTGTATTGTATTTCTTTACAGAAGTACAATTCACCTATTGTATCTCTTTACAGAAGTACAATTCATTTGTTGTATTTCTTTACAGATGAACAACTCATCTAATGTATTTCTTTATTTCTTTATTCGTGTTATAAGACAATTTTTTGTCAGAAAAATTTTTAAAGTAAATAATGAAAACGAATTTTAAAACAAATTGACTATTTTTAAAAAGTTTAAATGCTATTTTTGTAAATTTAAATTCGTTTTAATATTTCTATCGTAACCTGCAGTCCAAATCTAACATCATCAGTCCAAGGAACGGCGAGCCATTGATTGCAGCTATCCAGGACTTTATAACAGGTTAAATAATCTCACGCTTACTTTCATGTTTGTTTGTTTTTATGTAGAGTTATTTAACAGCAAAAGCCCGATTGTAATCCACCCACGTATCCTCTAAACTTGCAGGTTCCTATCTGCTGACGCAAAAGGATGTCTTCTTTGATAAAGCCGCAGCCAACCGCTTAGCAGTTTCAATCCTTGGACCTCGGGATAGGAAAGTCGTCCTGCCTCTGCCTGCCATCATTAAGGTTGCTCCTGAGATTATCTCATTCATTATCTTGACGAATTAAAAACAAACCATTTATTTAATTTATCGTGGTGGGATGGTTAGTCGAGGATTATGTTGATGATAAGGATTATGATGATGATAAGGATTATGGTGATGATAAGGATTGTGATGATGATAAGGATTGTGATGATGATTAGGATTGTGATGATGAGATAGATTATGAGATGATGATAATTTTATGATTATGATGGATTTTTTTGTTATGATAAGGAGATTATGTTGATAAGGATTATGATGATGATAAGGATTATGGTGATGATAAGGATTATGGTGATGATAAGGATTATGATGATGATAAGGATTGTGATGATGATAAAGAATATGGCGATGATAAGGATTATGATTATGATAAGGATTATGATGATGATAAGGAATATGGCGATGATGATGAGGAGGAGGATCATGATTATCCGCAGCGTCATGTTTAAAAATTTATTTAAATCGGTTTTTAATGTTTTCTAAAGACTAAGTTAAAAAAATCACCTCTCTCGTTTGTTTCAATTTGATTTGCAGCCAAAAGAGTTGTGGACAGGTAAGCAGATCTTCAGCTTGCTGTTGAGGCCGTCCCCCGACTCTCCCGTCCTCATCAACCTCAGGTCCAAGTGCAGTGGCAAGAGAGTTGACGACAAGGAAAAACAAAATTATATCTGCTGCAGGTTCGTAGCTGTAAAGTGTATTTGAAACTGATAATTTATTTTGGGATTCCTAATTAACTTTTTTTTATGTAAAGCTGTTCTTTCATTCTTTTCTATTCATTGCCGGTTTTTCTGTTTTGCTTGGGTGCAGACGTTGGCTTTACGGATCCTCTTTTATCGCTCCACCCAGGACTAAATAAATTAACAATAATAAATTTTTATATTTTTTTTTTCAATAACAATTTACACCTGTATTGACTGCTCCGGTTTCAATGTGATATAAAGATGCTTAATTTTATTAATATCTTTCTACTTAACTATCTATCTGACCTGTTTTCAAAATTTTAGATGCAAAGAAAAATTAGAAAAAATGAAACTTCAAGAATTCTGCCGAGACCCATCTATCTGCGAAAAATGTCACCAGTTGTTGCAAAGCGCCAGCGGCACAGCTGACGAGCTGTGTGTCACGTGTTGCAAGAACTATCACAGGCTCACTGACAGCCTGATGCCAGATCTCTGCTATAGTTGTAGAGATTATAACAAAAACTGCAAGACAGAGGAGAGAAATCCCAATGATAATTGTTAGTTATCTTCTATGGTTTTTTTTTAAACTGGAAGCAAATGTTAAGATTATATACTTATATCAAAATAAAACCGAACATAATTTATTTTTATTTTCCGATTTAATTATTTAATGATGCAAGTAGTTTTATTTTTATCTATTCAAATTAATCTGAGTTTATTATGTTTTTAAGTTTTCTGTGCTTTATGTTTTATAAAGTTTTCCTTACAGTTTCCAACTCCTTGTAACTTGGCTTCTGATACTTTATAAATGCGATACATTGTAGATGCTAACTTTGATCTCTGCGTGCTCTGTTTCATTCAGTTGTGGTTGTGGATAGCAGCAGTCTGCTGGCGGGCTACATGGAGAAGGGTCACCTGGGATCTGGCAGCAAGTCCAACATCTTCTACATGATCCTGAGAGCATTCGGAGAAGTACACGCTGCCGATGCTCTATCCAGGATTTCCAAACTGGCATCCGCTTATATCAGTCAGGGTTTTCTCTAGTTCATTTCATCTGCGGCATTGTTTTCATCATTTCAACGATTGATCACTTTATTTATTTTTTATTCAATTCACTTCTTAACATTTGATTCACATAGCGTACGAAAAATATGTCTAAATCAGCACACCACATAGTACAAATGATATAACCAACCAGATGAACACATACAAAAACAGTACAATGCAGTACAAATTTATAAAGTTATATAGAACATTAATAATAACAACAGTCATTAATAATAATTAAATACAACAATAAACTTCAGCATTTGTATGACAGTTGTAATAATTATTGTCCCTGTAAAACCAACAGTGACAAGAGGTTTCTCCATCGGCATTGGTGACGTCACGCCGGGCAAAGCTCTCCTTCATACCAAGTCTCAGTTACTGCATGCCGGGTATGTCATGTTTTTGAGTTTTTTTTGGATTAAATTGATGTTATTTTTATTGAATTTTTCTTCGCTTAAAATATAATATTTGAATTTTTATAGATTATTTAGTAATTTTGTTTATGTTGGGTTTGAAACATGATTGTCTGAGTTGTTTTACAAGAGACATTCAAATCTCATTGAACTCGTTTTTAGGTCTTTCTTTAGACATCATAACTACGCCATTTTTCATATTAGATGGAACAAATAGTTTATTTGTTGCTTGCTGTTTTAAAAAATTCTGAACACTCTCGTTTGCGAAGATTTTGTATATTGGCGTGTTTCATGTAGTTGTATTGTTGGTAACTGCCAACAATTTTTCCCAATAACCGTTTTGTACTTGACTTTACTGACCAGATACCGCCAATGCGATGATTACATCAAACAATTGCTGGATGGTCAGTTGCAAGTCATGCCAGGTTGCTCAGAGGAAGAAACTCTTGAGGTCAGTTGGTGGGGTTGGTTCTTCGGTGGATCGTTCGGTGGGGTGGTTTGTTGATGTGGGCTATTTTTTTTATATTACGCTATTGATTGAAAGTTAACTACATGATTTGTTTTTTCATGTAAAATATTTTCATTTTGGCCATTATAGGGGGTGTTATTGAAAGAGTTGTCAAACATTCGAGAACAAGCTGCTGATGCCTGCTTGAGAGAGTTGCCAAAGACAAACAGTCCTCTCATCATGGCCCTCTCTGGATCTAAAGGTTGGTTTCATTTGATGTTGTATTGTTCGATCGAACTTTATTTTACAAACAGTTGCATGAAGAATTTCAATCTAAACAATCCATACCTTTCAGGGTCAAACATCAACATATCTCAGATGATAGCCTGTGTCGGCCAGCAGTCTGTCAGTGGCAAGAGGGTTCCACACGGATTTGAGGACAGGGCTCTTCCTTACTTTGACAAACACTGTTAGTTAATTTTTCTTACTCATTCACAAACGCATATCTTATCACAAGTGTATCCATCTATTTTATCATCATCCATCCACCCATCTAACCAACCATCCATCTACTTCATCATCCATCCGTCCATCTATCTAACCTACCATCCATCCATCCATCCATCCATCCAGCAAAAGACCCGGCAGCTCGTGGTTTTGTCGAGAACAGTTTCTATTCAGGGTTGACCCCATCCGAATTTTTCTTCCACACGGTGGCTGGTCGAGAAGGTCTGGTGGATACTGCCGTCAAAACTGCCGAAACTGGTTACATGCAGAGAAGATTGGTCAAGGTTGAATTCTCTTTCTTTCTTTCTTCCCTCCCTCCTTCCCTCTCTCTCTCTCTTTCTCTCTCTCCTTAGGTACTTTCTTTTGTCACACTTTATATTATTCTTTGAAAAGATGCTGAAAAAATATTTTATGAATTATTCTGATTAATCTACTTTTCGTTTTTTAAACCATTTTAGAAATTTTATATAAGAATATATTTATGAATTTGCACAACAAAGACAAAATGACGAACGTTGCACTGAAAAGAAACTTGTTAACTACTAATGCAGGCACTTGAGGACCTTTGTTGCCAGTACGATGAAACGGTGAGGAACTCGATCGGAGAGGTGGTGCAGTTTGTTTATGGTTCTGACGGCCTCGATCCCATGGCTATGGAGACCAAGTACCACAAAAGCAAGAATGGCAAGTTGACTGCTAAGGAGGCCAATCGGGCGATTGATTTTGGACGGGTGATGCAGCAGATTGTTGTGAGTCTTGTATTATATTATCTAAATTTTTGCTGCTTTTATTTTCATAAAAAATATTTGCACAGTTCATTCTGCATAAAAAATTGTTGCTTTCGTTACTTAAATTATTTTTTAACTTAAAATTTGATAACCAGACTGGTCGTTCGTTGACTGTTTAATAATTATTTTCAGAAGGAATATCCCTGCCAAGACGAAACTACTCTCACGGCTGATCAAGTGATGCTTTTATTTTCAAGGCTGCTTGAGGCAGAGGAGTTCAAATGTTTGAGAAGTTTCAAGTTGAATGTTAAAAACAAAGCAAACAGATGTACCATTAACCCGGAAACTGACATGGAAACTGATGCCCCGGTTGTAACAACATCCAACTGGGAAACTCTTGAAAGAGCGAGCAACTTTGGAAGACATTTAAGGTATATTTCGTTTGACCTATTTGGCCTTTTTTCCACGCGCGTTATTTGCATGTTATTCATCATTTAATTGCCCACAGAAAGTACATGGATGCCCTCGCCAACAACCTCCGTCTCAAAAGGGTACCACCTGGCAGTTAGTTTTATTTCAAGTTCAGATTTTTTGTTTATGCTTTCAATTCATTCACATGTCTGTTTCTAGCTTGGTTGTTCTCCTAATAATGTTCAATCTAATTTCTGGTAAGTCGAATATTCATTGTTTAATAATTTCAACAAAGTATGAATTCTGATAAATACATTATTTATTTATTATGCATTGTACCACTATGAACCTGCTCATCATGTGATGAATGATTGCATGCATGCAACTGCTTATCCACACGCTCATGAATAATTTTGAAGGTCTGTGTGAAATCAGCAAAATTTCAAGAACTCAGTTGGAGAGATTCCTTAACACGTGCTACAACAAGCTCATGAAGGCCAAGATGGAGCCCGGTATGATTCTCATGATTCGCATTTTTTTCGTAATTTAATTTCATTTGTTATTCTGTTGACTTCTTAAAAACTAGTTTCAGGCTGTAGCATCTTGAAATATTTATTTCTTAAAGTCAAATTAATGAAACGAGTGTGAAAGGCGTATCGTAATTGACTCCAAAACAAATGCAAGTACTTAACAAAAATAGAGCCTGGTAAAATGAACAAACCTCTTAACCACACCAGGGACGGCCGTGGGTGCCTTGGCAGCTCAGAGCATAGGTGAGCCGGGCACTCAGATGACCTTGAAAACTTTCCATTTTGCTGGAGTTGCCTCCATGAATATCACGCAAGGTGTGCCCAGAATCTTAGAAATCATCAACGCTACCAAAAATATCAGCACCCCTATTGTGGTCTGTCCTCTTGAAAACAACACCGATAAGGTCAGTTGCATTTCATGAGCGTTAAGAAATGATATGATGGTTGTAGTCAATCAAGTGATAGTGGGAGTTGGTGGATAAGTTGGTGGCAAAAAGAAAGACATGGAAGTTGCAGGATGCAGAGGTGAGGAAGGCATTTGAAGTGAAGGTGGCTGAAAATTGGGAGAGTGGTAAGGATGGAGATGTTTGGGTTTGGGTTTTGTTGGCTTTTTGATGTTTGATGTTGGTTACGGCAACACACAGTCCCTGTGTGTTGCCGTAGCCAACACACAGGGACTGTGTGTTGGCAAAGACAAAGGTGAGGGTTGGAAGGGGGATGTCGGACGCTTTTAGTGTTAAGGTAGGAGTGCATCAAGGATCAGTGTTATCACCGTTTCTGTTTGCAATTGTGATGGATGTTGTGTGTGGAAATATAATGGAGGGGTTGTTATTTGAGATTTTGTATGCAGATGATTTAGTCTTGATGGCTGATAGCATGGAAGAATTGCAGTTAAAATTTGACAGATGGAAAAGTGTTATTGAAAAGAAAGGGTTAAAAGTTAATATTGGTAAGACGAAGGTAATGGTGAGTGGGGAAGGTGGGGAGCGAGTGATAAGTAAAATAGACCCCTGTGGGGTATGTGACAGGAGAGTGAAGGCTAACTCGGTATTGTGTATAGGATGTCAGAAATGGGTGCATAAGAGATGTAGTGGTGTGAGGGGGGCACTGAAAAAGGTGGAAGGCACGTTCAAATGTAAGAAATGTGTTCATGGTGTGATTAATAGGACGGACGCAAGGACGGGGTTGAGTGGTGGTATGAAAGAGTGGAAAGCTT